TGATTATAATATTTAAGAGGAAACTACGAACCAACCTTTTCGACATCGCACAACGATATTATCGTGAATTTAGATTCATACTTATTATCACTTGGGTAACTACAGGGAAAACATACGCGCGAGTTAACCAGAAATTACAGCTTTTTACGTGGGCGAGTTAATCCAAGACAATAACGCGAGGAGCTAATAATACCCTTGCCAGAAGCGGGCATAATGCAGTTGGCTCGAGCAGCGACCCATCGCACTGAAGGAGAGAAGATACAACACGAAGAGAGAAGATACAGCTATCGCTGGTGTTTTGTACAGGGTGTTACGGATAAGGTGTCCATCCGCTCGTATACAGGTAGAGCGGGTTAAACTGAAAAGGAAAGTTATGTACCATTTTGTAAAATTCCCAATAGTTGTCGAGTAATTAATTAAAACGTTTGAGCGAATAAGCGCGAGAAAAGCGATAGGCCAAACTCAGCGGGCGGTGAGGGGCGAGTTGTGAGCATCATCTGAAGCTCGCTGCTCGCCGCATGACAACTTTTTCCCGGTGCATCGCTCCGCCTCCCGCTATCGAACGCCCAATGTTGCAACGAGACTAAACAAATAAGGCGTTTCACGTGCTTGTCGAGTCCGGCCTACTGCTCTTCTCGTGCGTTCATTCGCCCAGATGTTTTTATCTATCACTCGAAAACTATTGCGAATTTTACAAAATGGTACATAACTTCCCTTTTCAGTTTAACTCGCTCTACCTGTATACGAGCGGATGGACACCTTATCCGTAACACACAGTATAAAAGAAATTGTGCATGATCTTATAACGAAGGGATAGCAAGTCTAACGATAAGGCAAGAGAGAAATGATTTCTACAATATTGTTCACATATTATATTATACTTGAGCGTCTTGAAAACATCATTTAAAAGAAAAAAGAGAAAGGTTTGTTTGTCTTACTATAAATAAAAATTATTTAAACGAGCCGCAAAATAATTCAAGCCAAATGCGGAGTGTGTGGAGTACGGGGAGCGCTACGTGAAAAAGTGATGGGACCTCAAGAGGGACATTCTAGAGTTAATGAGCGTCAACGAGCTCGCGGGCATTTATAGTGCGGCGCGAACTACGCGAATGCAGTTATGCATTATTCGCTCGACACCGAGCGTGGACATTACACGCGCATTTAGCATATCGCGGCGCACCGGCGAATAGAATCCGTTGATAGAGAGGCGAAATGGCAGTGACGTAAGAGACAAATAAGAGCGATGCGCGCTCTTGTCGGCCAGATCGCCGCGACAGGTGGAGGCTGAGAGAACTTGCGGCCCCTCCCGCTTTTCCGCGGGCTCGCTCCTCATGATCTCTTTGTCCGACCGCCAATGCTCTTTGTTCGGCTCGTGTTTTCGGGTCACCCTAGAATTTGCCGCTGAATTGTTGGCTCGCCGAGTTTCGGTCCCGGTGTGCCGCACCGCGAGACCGGTGGATACCCACGAAAACCAGCGATTTCGGTGGTAGCGTCGCGCTCTCGCCGTTGGTGCCCCGCTCTCCGGTCGTTTCGGTCCAGGACGCGTGAGATCGAGTTTTAAGCCGGCCAGGCTATGGGAGTAGTTGACTAGGTGGCTTTAGTTTGATTGCGGAATACAGTTCCGAAGAATTAATCCTGACAGATACGAGCGTTATTCCGTAACTGCAAACGCTCTCTTCATACTCGTATAACGTTGTTTATTTTATATTATATTGTAGCACGGTCACACTCTGTTTTTGTGCTAAGACAATTACATTAAGCGATTGCATAAAGTTATCACAATTACTTAGAATCATTTCGAAAGGAGTGAAAATAGGACAGGGATTGCAATTATTATTTATTGTTTCAAACAACTTCCCCCTTTCATGTTTCGCATTGTGCCACATCCAAAGTCTATGAAATCATCCAATACACGCGGACTTTTTTTTTCAAACAATTTTTTTGTTATTAACAGCACATTTCATTGTTCGACAATTATTTTTCCGGCCGATCGCACTTTATCTAAAAGTATGTACATTTAAATACGCGACATACGCTAAAAGTGCAATCGTCAATGGGCAGGAAAAATAATTGTCGCGCAATGAAATGCGCTGTTAATAATTAAAAAATTCACTTCTAAACCATCGTCTAGTCGAAGCGTCGAGATAATACAGGCGTGAAATTAATATACATTTAGTGCGTACACATAAAGTACGAGGCCGCGCTGCTTGTAATTTGTACGCAACCAATCATACATATAGAAACGCTCGTCTCTGCAGAGATTTTATTATTTATAGCCGATACCACGGTCCATTGGTGCCTTTATGCGTTCGACATTTTTTACGATCCTCGTCTTTATTTAAGAAGGCAAGTCCCGACAACTGAAACAGAACGTAGTAGCAACTGTCAGTGGCTCGGTCCAGGCCTCTGTTAACAAGATCTCTTTTGACGTTTGAGGATCATGGAATCGCAATGCATGATTCGAGCTGTTCTGTTACTAATGGTGATTCAACTACACTGCGAAATTCTGCTGGCCGCAAAAGACGCGTCCGAACTGGACAATTCAAACCAATATGAGGACCCTCTTACTTTGAACAGCCTGGAACATTATGCGGATCCGTCACCGTGGATAATAGGTGCGCCACCTCGCAGGCCTCGAAAGCCAAGCAAATCACCTAGACGTCAAGTATTTTCGGATGACGCGAGCGATCTGGACAGTTGGAGACGTTTGGCGGATCCGTCGCCGCATATAATAGAATTGCCGAATCGTAAGCCTCAAAATTCAAGGCAGTCACGTAGACGTCAAGTACTTTCGGATGACGCGACCGATCTGGACATTTGGAGACGTTCGGCGGATCCGCATATAATAGAATTGCCGAATCGTAGGCCTCAAAATTCAAAGCAGTCACGTAGACGTCAAGTACTTTCGGATGACGCGACCGATCTGGACAGTTATTGGAGACGTTCGGCGGATCCGTCGCCGCATATAATAGAATTACCGAATCGTAGGCCTCAAAATTCAAAGCAGTCACGTAGACATCAAGTATATTTGGATGACGCGGCAGATCTGGATAATTTAAGGCAGTATGTAATCACAACTCCACAACGCAAGTCTGTAAACCTTAGACCAACGCAGATGATGTATTCGGATGAGCTGTCTGGAGAATCGGACGAATATTCAAGTGACGTATCAAAAGAATATTCGGACGACGTATCGGATCAATATTCCGACGCAGTGGTTTCCTCTGTCCATGGGACTTCGGACTCGCGGCCAGCTCGAAGATCGAATACACTGCTGAAACTCTCAAACGTCGGTGTTAAGGCTCTAGGCGCCATACCAAAAATCTTGTTAGGCGATGATGATGATGAAAAACCACGTTCTCATTACAAGACAGTCGAGACAATTGTCAAGTGTCCTGAAGGGACAGAGTTAGTAGACGATCATTGTAAAGTAATTTCCGATCCTTACGATTATAACAGAGGCACTAAAATAAAAAAAGTTGTGGTAGAATCTGATTATATGGATGACTATTAGATTATTTATGATATATTATATAAATAATTTGAAGTACGCTGCATGTATGGATCGGCAATCATGGTAAAGCCATCGAGACTTGTTCATTTGGAAAATTAACTAATCACTGTAGAGAAGTTGATACTATCTAATTATAGAAATTATTAATTAACAATAAATGAGTCAAACTAATTGTGCAATGTATATTACATGTAATGTACATACATATATACTAATGTATATTACATCTATTAGTATATATGTTATATTTTAAAGATATATTATATCTTAATATGTAACAATGTAATTATTGTAGATTCTACATAGTTAATTTTTATTCAATTTCGTCCTGTAATAAAAAAAATTATATTGCCATTTTTGAACCTCTACGATTTTCTAATATTGCTAAAATTACATATTCGTATCTTAATTCTCAAGCTTGTTTAGAAACTAGAATATTAAATGATAACAGACTGGAAACATTTCGAAAAGATTAACCTGTTCTACTGTATCGCACATATTTTGTTAAAAAGTTGAATGATAATTTATTCGCTAAGCAAATGAATTCTACTCCGATAAATGAATACAAAGATTAATTATATCCGAGGTTACATTTTTATTCAAAATATAAAATATAATTTGTCAATAGCAGTCACGTTTATTTAATAATTTGTTTGTAAATTTCACAAACTTTCTCCTGTATAGGATCTAATGTTAAAACCGCTCAGTTCCCTCATTACTCCGACACTTTACGCGACACTCTATGCATGATAAATTCCGAATACGGAGTATCGTTTCGAGATTAACCCGTGCCTGTAAACGTATGCAGGCTTACAAATTGCGCCGTTCTGCAAATTGCTTCACGAAACATGTCTTTCGCGCCATTATAGGATTTGCGGCTGAATTATAGAGGCAGGCTCCTACATGGGAGAGGCCGACGAAAGCCGACGATATCTGCGAACTAAACTGCCGAAAGGCGACTTCATTGCAGCGCCGGGAGCTGCAGGAGCCAGAATCGTAATTGGGATCGTCGGACTACGTGTTACGGCTCAGTGATTGTCGTTAGATGAAAAAAGATTTATAAAAACGGAGCTCTCTTCTCGTAAAGTTGTTCGATTGAACTTTTATTTTCTCGATTTCTAGATGCTCCCGCTCTTCTCTCTTCCTTTCTTCCTCTTGTCTTCAGACAAATAACACGTATACTTGCTTGATTCTGTTATACGGATATTCTCTGACACACGAGATGTAACTTTAAAAGTTGTTAAATTAAAGCGATATTAAATCAGGTTCTGTATACCAATCGCGACACGTGATCTCGTTCTTCTTGGAAAACATTTTATAAATTCTATAGTTGTGAGTAAATTGTTACAGACAGTTTTCTTATTGGAAAGCTTTGAAACCAAAGCAGAAACACCTGAGATAAAAATTTTCGTATCATACATTGCGTTAAATGTTTACACAATGTGTTAGATTTTGCATTTAAAAAAATATATTTTTCTACGTATACATTTATCTACACGTTTATTGCTTCGCGGTAATAATCGTAATTTTTTTTCTGTTCGTTTAAGATACCAAAATGGACGCCGAGGCAGCGTTGCTGGAAAACTCGCCGACTTTGTCGACGATCTCGTCAGATTCTACAGATGCGACGTACTCGCCCGGACCCGGCTCGCCCTATTCCCCGGAATCACCGATCATCGTCACGTCCTCCTATAAAAAAAAACGTGACGATGAAGTCACGCCCAGACCAACGCCCAGATATTCACTGCCATCCAGGAAGCCGAACTTCCGGATACGACCGCCCTACCTCATGATCTGCATCAGTATCATTGAGGTGAGTAACGAAATGCCAGCACAATTACTCAGAACAGTGTGTTATAATTGTGACAATCCCTATCTAAAAAAGGTGTTGCGAGTTCATTGTTGTCGCTTTTCCGCGATGCCGATTGGCTTTCTCGAAACTCGATTTCGATCTTGTTGCGAGTCGATTCTCCTCGACTCGCGGTTTTGACAGTTTGTATTTAAGAGGGTTATTTTGACAGTTTATGTTTCGATCTCGTTGCGAGTCGTTCACTTCGACTTGCGGTTTCGATAGTTTGTATTTAAGAGGGTTATTTTGACAGTTTATGTAATATAATGTGGAAGAACAATGGCGCGCGCGAAGCGCGCGCTTGTGTTGTTCTAGTATTTTAAATAAGAGATGAACGAAACAATACCTTCGTAAAAACCACGAGCCAAATAATTAAAAATGTCAAGTATTATTTTTTTTTAGAGACACGCTATTAACTAGACACGTGTTTACTTAGTTTTGCGTTTATCTTTAATATTAGATATCATTTCCAGATACATTTGCACAAAATGTAGCCAACAAAGTCGAAATATTCAGCTATGATTTTATTATGGTATTTTTTTTTAATCATTCAACAGCGGCGAAAATTATCTGTAAAAATATCGTCGTGCCTCTTCTTCGCGCACTTTATTATTTCTCCTCGTGTTTTTATATTCGTTTTATTATGCTGAAATAAAAGACGCTCCATCAGAATAAAATTCTTTCGTCGTAGAACGCGGAACATATTGCGAGCATTCCGGCGAATGTAAGCGGAGTAGAAAGGAACGGCTGTAAAATGCTATGCGTAAGCTCCAAGATTTCTCATTAACAGAACCAGCGTGTCGTGTTCAATTCTCGAGAGCGAGGGCGAACGGAAAGCGCGGTGGGATCCCTTTCCAATTATACGCGCGAATTCGCTGGAGAATACGCGAATGATATTCCGAGATACCTGATGACGAAAACTCCAAAAAAAGTGGAGGCTCTTTATGGCTTTTTCGCTCGATAGTAATCTCGCCGTCTTGCGCTCCAGTCGGCAAGTGAATAAGCAGCGGGGAATACGCGCAATAAAAATTCACGAATTTAAAACCGCGAAGTTACGCCGCAATTTCTTACTCGTTTACCACGGAGCACGACGAAAGTTAATCACTTAGCCGTGCTTTCTTTTGACTCGTTGTACGAGTCGCCGCGGAACGAGATCAAAGTAAATGCTCGCCGCAGATGTTTAACAGTCCAACTTCATTGTGTAAAGGAGGGTAAAAGGCACGGAAAGATATGAGGTAATTAAGTGTATGAAAATTAAGTATAAATACATTCCTCGGCTATTTACGCAATCTGATGAAAAAGTTTGCACTTTGGATTGTGATGTGCTTGAATATGCGAATTAAATACGTCACCTTTAATTTTAATTGCCGTCAATACGTGGTGCAATTGCTTTTTATTATTTTAACGTAAACTTACTTAACTTTTTCATAAAAGTTATAATTTTAAAATTAGTATCTTGTGCATTAATAAAAATTAATTGGATCGCTAAACGTCACTTTAATGACGTAGATGTTATTTGAAAGAGAAAGTTTAAAATAATCGTTCCTAAATCTTCGTACTGCTTTAAAAACGTTGTCAAGCGCTTGAATTTCGTCTTACAAAGCTTAAAATCGGTGAAAAATCTAAGTAATGTTGGTATACGCGATCCGTGATAAAATAGTAGACAAAAAGTAATAATTTTGTGATTTACTGTGCTGAGATACGAATTTAATATAGCTTCGTATGAAATTATGACCATTAGAATCGAGTGTATCACACGGTGAAAAAATTAGCTGCATTAGCGAAAAAATTTTGCATACACGTGCATGGCGAAAAATGTTAAATATTAACTAAATGATCGTAAAATGAAAAGCGTACCATGAAAAGGCGATTTTCAAAGTGGCTCAGTGAGTGATCTAGAGAGAGAGAATATTAATGCGCTCTCGAGCTTAATGAAACGCTCAAAAAGTAGCGTTGTGTTACTTGAAAAAAAAAAGTTGATATTCCCAGGCATATAATAATGTCCGTACCTGTGGGCGTTTTACCGCCGGGAAAATTACCTGCGAACGGAGAAATACTCGCCAAAGTGTATAAACCTAAAGCCGCGGAATTAAAGGCGCCAATAATTCACGGCCGCAGTCCGTGAATTTCAACTTTATCGCGGCAGTATTGTCTGGTGAAAACTCGTTGTTGCAAGTGGGAGATAATTTGTAATATATGAGACAACGCGTATAAACACACGCCTGAGAATGCGCGCCGCGCGGTGCTTCGCGCTAAGGGCGGAAGCGGAGAACATCGGCGGCGTTTTGCACGATAAAAAGAAACGAGCCGTTATATTTATCGCTCTGGCGCGTATCGCTCCCGCAAATCGTTCCTCGAAATTTAAGGAGCTTTACATCCGAACCAAGAAACACAGCGGAATGTATAGAATAAGAGGCGGAATATGATACAGCCATTTCGCGTCTGATCTTACAGCGGGATCTTAAAATAGATACAACTCATAAAATGAAATGTTTATGAATAAAGAAACTTTTATGCACGTATACGCGCCTTCCGATGATGGGGAGAAGAAGGTGCTTAAATATTTTGGAGTATTGTAAAAAGTTCTACACGCTGTTTGAAGGAAATGAAAAACAATTTTTCAGTCTTAATTCGGAAAAATTCTTATTCTACTTGTTTTTTTTTGGCGTAAGTAAAAATCCAGTATGAAACAATATAATTGGATGATTGCATGATTATTAATATACGACGGACTTATACGGCGAGGTAGAACAATGGCTGTTGTAAATATCACACTGGTTCTGATTCTATAATGATGTGGTAGAGCGTTAATTTGTGTTTCAAATGCATAAACTTAAAACTACGAAGTTAAATGCATTCCTAATTCGCGTAGAAACTCCGTTTCTGTCTTTAACATGGGAATGTCACCATGCATTGTTAAAAGAGGACGGCATGAGGGAGAACGAAAATCGAGGGTGTTAACGTGCAACGACCTCGAAGTGAGAGGCGGAATGAGGAAGAGGGCGAATTTCACCTTTGAAACGTTCTCCATATCACCGGAAATAGATGTTCCGGGTCGCGATTAACGCGATAAGTGGTATGAATGGTGCCCGTATAATGTTGAATTTTGAACTTATCAGATCAAAACGGAAAAGCTCAAGGAAATTATTCTTTGGAAAGAAAAACGGACCGTGAAACATATTGCACTTTACTTGAAAAAAAGTTATTACAATATAAATATACTTGAAATATAAAATGCACGAATGGATACATTTATATTATACAGAAATATTATGTTCCAGCCGTAAGCACTAAACGCGACATGTATAATCTTTAGTCCCTAACGAGATCAAGGAGTGACATTTAGAAATGAATGTATTTAAATTAACGCTTTTGTGTAATGGAATATTATAGAAGTAGATTTTAATCCTTGGCACATGTTCACATTCTGTAGAAATTAATTCATGAATAACTTACGTTACTTTGATATGTCCCAAGAATGCATGCAATGAAGCATAGTTCTTGCATATACAGAATGTTACATAATAAATATGGTTCGAATAACAGATTCTTCGATAAATTCTTGCTTATTGTTATTATCGGCAGAAGTTTATTGCAACACCCCTTTTAATTTTTGTCATTTATTTAATAATATATATCTTTCTTTGCAATTAATTAAGCATGGAATAAAAATGTTAGTAAATTACAGTTTACCTGAAATTAACTGGGCATATAATTTTATCCCACTTGCCTATTAGATGTGCAATTCGAAACAATTTTTTTTATTTTAATAGTATTTTATTTTACAGTTCTATTTTTTAATTGTTAATACTCTTGTTACTTCGCAACTTCTGTCAAGACTAATTAAACTCCAGATTGGCCATGTAATCTATCATTAATCTTTCGATATGTTCAATTTACCTAAAACCGATGTAAAGTGTGATAACGGAATCATCAAATTGCGAGATAAGAGTATATATATTCGTCGTGGTATCTCACGCGCGATTTTGTATAGAACAAAGCTTTCTTTACGTTTGACTTTAGGCGATACAAATCTCTCACTTGCGGAAAGTATCGAGGTTTAACTTGGAACCTGCCTCGCTTTCCGTCACTTTACTGTACTCTTTGAGTAGACGATAGCTGAAGCTCGTAAAACGAACCTCTGTGATTTACGTACCACCTTTTGTCTGATATGGCAATCATTTGAGATAAAATCACGTTGAACGGTAAATTCAGTTTTAGATTTTTTTGGTAAATGATACTTGTGCTTTTCAACATTGCAGATTATATCTGTTTGCATAAAAGAAATAGCAAAGCAGAAGAAATAAAAAAAAACAGATTACAGATTGCACTTTACTTTCTTACGTAAATGATTCTTGAATTTTATTTGGTTTTTAGAAATCTCGTGAAGATTTTCTTTAAAGATCTCTTTTTTAAATTCGATAAATAATTATACGCAACAAATATAAAATTCTATTACATACGTAATATATTTTTAGAATAAAAATTTATATATGTATGAGTATACCTACGAGAGCACAGTCTTGACTTAATTTTCCTTTTGTTCTGAATGTTTTAACAGAGAGGAAGTCACGTCTCATTCAGATTTCATTTGTGTCATGAGTGTCGTAAAATCGCAAATTTCGCGTACGAGACAAATTTCGTCGCGCGATATTTCAACATACCGTGAATATCGATATATGCACCGCATTACGCGAATATTACACGATATTACGTTCTTCTTTTCTCGCGCCTTAGGAAAATGAAATTCCTACGTTGTAGGACGCGGAGGCTTCTATAATTACGAACTCCAGCCGGAGTTTCCGTATGCGCGTATACATGCGCACGTACACGTACATATCCACCAATTATACGGGTTGCTGCAAACATTTGCTTAGAATTCAGAATTAGAACACGGTATTGGACGAAATCACTGGACTGTGATCGCGACGAGCTGACACATGGCGCGCTTGACAATAATCGTCCGGATGTTGTTCGCTCTCGCATAAATAATTCCCTTCCCTTTTCATTCGTACAAGATGGAATGCGATAATCGAGATCTTTGGGTAACTAGAATAATGCAGCGATCAATGTAAAAATTAATAGTTTTATAATAATTATTATTTAAGTGTCCCCGTAATATATTATGTTTATGTATCGCACTTGATAATTTTAGAGTAGCGTTACCAGACAATTCCAACTGTTCCATTCGCGCTTATTGTAGTTTAAAATGCGCATCACGAAGGTCCCATCTTGGCTTAAGTGATATTTAGAAAAAAAGAACATTTTAAGTATCACTTGAGCCAAGATAAGATCTTCGTGGTACACATTCTAAAGCACAATAAGTGCGAATGGTACAATCGAAACTGATAATGCTTCTTTAAATGTTATCTATTATTTTCTAAAAATTATTTATTATTTATGTACCATTTATTATATTTTTTTTACTAAATAAAGTGTGATATAAATAAATAAAAACTGGAATAATGGCGTATTCAGATTTGCCGCGGTTAAAATAAATTGCGTAAATTTCGGAACTAACCAACTCGTGTAGCTGAATTTCATTTTCGCGAGACCAAACGACGAGGTCAATCTCATTCAGTTCTGCGGCGGACACGTCGTCGAATTGAAATATTATCGCGCGACGGGGCGTACACGTGACACGAGGCGATCATTTGCTGCAAAGTGAGCACTGGATTTTAATGTCCGGGAGATACTGTCCAAGGTGGAGAACATAAAAGCGCATTAAGCACGAACGGGGGCCCCGAAACCTAGACGGGCTCGTAAAAACCGGGACATCAGAATAGATAGCCGGCGAGGTATATCAAGCTCTCCCGAAAGAGTGGCGCACCTGCTGACACGTGTGATTTACCGGCGAGAATGTCTGCACGTGTGCACTCCACTGTGCCGCACGAAAAAAAAAAGCAAGCAACAATCGTTAAGGCATTATTTTTAAAGACTTCTGTGCGCGCGCTCCGCGCCGAACGCGCCGCGCTACACGCCGCTCTTTATTACGGTTACGATAAATTCCGAGCGTAATCGGATGAGCAAGTTATTAAACGCGTTGATAAATTGCTCGCAGACTACGTCCGTGACATAAATATTTTGCTGACTGTGCGATTAATATTGAACGAAATGCCTGATATCGCTACTGTGTGCGTATGGAAGCTGCTTTAATAGGCTGCCTGGATCTTCGTAAATCATTGTGATCGATAATGCGATTGATCGTTATTTGGTACTCAATTGCAAGGCGTTATGCGATATTGGATTATTCGTTATTGTAGTTTATCATGGATTATGATGTAGCGCCCGGTATGAATTATGCGCTCAAGCTGTCTTTTAGATAAATTCATTAAATTGCAAACTTGACGAATAAATGAATTTCATAAATTGCAAAGAGTTAAATTAATTTGGCATACATGAAAAAATCAAATAAAATTTATCTGGACTTTGGAAAACTTTGCCGAGTATGTCAATTTATTCGTAATGCACTTCAACGTATAATATAGAGATATAAGTATTTTTTTTAGATAGAGTCTCTTTTTTTCGTGAAGGATAAAAAACAGTTATCGATACTTGTCTGGAAATACATTGCGTACATAGATTTAAGCGAAGAGCTCAAGAACCATGTGGTCCATTAACTATTTTGGGCTTAATGTCACTTCGTCTAGTCTAGAAAGATAAGCATTTTTTTCCCACGCTTCTGTGTGAGAGGTTCGGGCGATAAAAACGCGTGGAACACGTTTTCCATCTCAACAAATCGCTTTTAGGAAAGCTAAGTGTTGTTACGGAAATAGCCGGCGTACCAGCAGGTTCTAAAACAGCACTTCGTTCATGTGCACCGAGTCTAAATCTTTATTTAGCCTTTAAGATAAATAGGAAATCTCGGATTTACTAAGCCACCTCTCTCTCTCTATCCTAAGGAACATAAGACATTTTTTTGGCGGAAGACATTTCGAGTCGAAATGATTGAATTTCAAGCGTTTCTTATACATGCACGTATTGTAAAAATTCATCTTAACGTGCTGCTAAGAAACTGCAAATGAACAATTTCGAATGATAAAAATTATTCAACGCAAACAAAGATAAGTAACAAAATTAATACAAGTAATAAAAGAAATATTACATTTTATGTATGATTCGTGCTTAAAATGATAAAAATTTTATTTGACGTATATGCAGAGAAAAAACGTATGAAAAATAGTTTTCATATATTCAACAATTCAGTATTATACGCATACATATTTAACAGAGACATTGTCGATTGTAATTAACTTTATCTCTAACAGCGACGTGCAATTATCTCCGTGTTCTTGAATATATACCGTACTCTTCTCTGAATAATATTCCGCGGCAAAGGCAAGCACATTAAACGTGCTTTCTCTCGGTAATAGATAACCGTCCACTGCCTGGGAGACGAGGCGACGTTACGGAGATGGCTGGTCTACGATCCCCGTCAGAGGGTGCAAGGCTGGAGGTTCGCCTCCTACATGCTGCTGCACTCGAACGCACTTCACCTCGCACTCAACGTGGTCATTCAGCTGGTCCTGGCTACTCCACTCGAGGTGAGCCAATCAAGTAAATTGCGGGGACGTCGTTGAGCGCGTCAAGACACCGCGTTTAAGAGAAAGAGCCCCTCCTTTCGACAGCGATCCTACTTTGTCCACGATTACGTCAGATAACGTTCCCATATCGTCTAATTAACATTGCCTTGCGTTATACCGTCAACAGAACTTGGTATTCTGTCCACACAATATCGAGAGCGACACCGAATAATGAGAATAAGCACAAAATATCGAGAGACAGAGAACATTAATTCCTTCAAAGTGTTTTTAGAAATAGGTACCGTATCACGTCGATTTGTGATTGCATTTATTATTTTTCATTTGTTTTTACACAATGGTACAAACAGAAAGATGGCCGTGGCTAAGCAAAATTTTCAGACAGGATTCTTATCGTTCCGCAGCATCAAGATCTTCGCTGTACATTCACAGAGAAGGTTTTCCGACCTAATGCTATTACACATTTCAATCTATCAAAAGAGGATAGCGACAATCATATTTATTATTGAATTCATAAAGTGAGATTTTACGAAGTGCTTTGAGAAAGAAGTATTTTAATCTTAATGGAAGGATCTTTTAATCTAGAACAAAATGTTAGTGCATGCGTTACAATACAACGAGAGAAGATTTATTCTAAAGCTTAGATTGATATGTCACCCTTATCTCAATGTAGCAAGTCAATCTTATTTAAGAGATAGGAGAATTATTGAAATAACATTAGACGGTTTATTGCGATAAATATTGCCACATGCCTCGGTCGAATTGGTGAGACGCCCGCCTAGCGAGAGGGAGGTCCAGGTTCAAATCCTGGCTGAGGTAAATTTTTCGCAGTAAACTTAAAAATTAAAATCATTTAGACACTCCAGCGTCCTCTCTTACATCCTTCCTATTCCTTTAAATTGTGACTTCGCGTCAGATCCTATGAATTTTATTGTTTGGGAATTATTGATTTAACTTAGTTCTTTTACGCTACACGAGGTTGCGATAAGTTTAAATATGTTTTGTCTTGTTATCAGAAATCCTTTCTGAGAGGGTTCATCAAATCCGACATAACAAGTTTGATTTATGAGAGATAAATTGCAAAGATCGTAATTCCGCATGCACGGAAACGCAGATCGGGAACGAAAGAAAGCTCACGGTTGCAGGTGGAGCAAGGGCGAATAGGGGTGGCGACGATCTATCTGGGCGGCGGGGTCTGCGGCGCTCTGGGAGCGTCGCTTCTGCAACCTAGTCTTTATCTGGTCGGCGCTTCGGCAGGTGTTTACGCGCTGCTTACGAGTCATCTTGCTCATCTCTACCTGGTAAGCGAGAGCAAAAGTTTCTCAATCTCTAAGAACTCCTGAAAGTCCGCGCGGCGTCGCATGTCGCAGCGGCAAAAGGGAACGAAGAGGGGGGAAAAAAAAGTAGAATATGGGAGACTACAAAAGACGCTGCGCTAAAACGCGCCGTCGAGTCGCGCAGGAATGTTTCCGCTCGAAACCCCCGCGAAAGAATCTTATTTAGCGAGTAACGGACTCTTCTCGCGGCAAGTGGCGACGATGAAAGATCCCCGGGAGTCAAACGCTACCTTGCACGATTGCATTCGTATATTTTTTCAATTACGCAAATTTCTTAAAGGGCATAGCTTTATTTTTTATCGATTCAACGAACCTCGGAGGTAACGTTAAATCGACAGATTTGATTTCTCCGCGACTTGACGCACGACCGAGCCTTTTGGCTCGCACCTGTGGACCCTTCGGTGATGGAAAAGCCGGTCCGCGTAGCGTGCATCGTTTTTGTTTCTCGTTGATTGCAGTGCCACGGCGAGCTGCGCTACGCCGGCTGGCGTCTGGGGGCCGTGCTGCTGCTGGCCGGTGCGGACGTCGCGTCGCTGCCCATCCCGGCGTTGCTGGGATGCGGCCGGGTCGGCTGGGCGGCGCACGTCGCGGGCGCGCTGGCGGGCCCGCTTCTGGGACTGGCCGTGTTCCCGAAGCAGAGCAAGAAGGACGCCCGGGGCCGTAGGTTCGTGCGGTACGTGCGGCTGCTGTCGGCCGTGAGCGTGATGCTGCTGATCGTCGGCGCCATCCTCGGCAACGTCTACCTGATCGCCCTACCGCAGCTCAGGAAGCCATCCTGACAGAGGATTGAGATGCTCGTCAAGCTCTGCAGGCGGTCCTTCCTGATCGTGAAGATCCGGGAGGCCGCCGAGAGCGTGTTCGAGTAGGCCCGTGCGAACCCGCGGGACCCGAGCGATTCCAGTTCGCGCAACTGCCGGTGGGACCTTTGCACCCTCGCCTCTCAGATCTCACGCGAATCCCGTGCGATACGATCTCGTCGTCCATTAGACACGAAGGGAATCACGCTGGAACGACGCGCGATCGTGACCTTAGGTAGCCCCTGTGAAAATGTTCGCGTTTCACCCCGGGGGGATGGCGGATCGTGCGATCGGTACACCGAGACGCTTGTGAGGGAACCCGAGCGAGCATCGCGCCGACCCATCGGAGTGGCTCGGTAGGAGGAGATACCAAAGATCGACGGCTCGTCGAACTTGTTCGTGCTACGCGCTGCCATTAGAATTTCTAGGATCTCGAGGACCCGCTAGACGAAACACGCGGTAGAATCGTGCAAGCACTCGAGGGTGAGACTCTGTTGCGCCTGATACTTTGATAAATTTGATATTAGTGAACGCCGTGACTTTTTCTACGGAGGTGAGACCTTTCAAACTGCCGACTACCACCCTGCCGATAGAATCGAGCTGTACATGTAACGTTTAATAATACAATTCGCAATGGTTCCTCGTCGTACCGATCTCGGCGATCAAGACGAGTTGCGAAGGTGTGCAATGTGTGTATAATAAAGGTAAGAAAACATTTCTCCCGTGACAGTGTACGAGGCTGAGGTGACGTACATTGACGGGGCACGTAAGTCTTGTCCAGCAGTGGCGAGCGATTATCGTAGAGCGTGAAAAGTAATTTATTAAAATGAAACACTTAGGGAAGATATTGTTATGGCTCGCGTGGACGAGAACCGCGCGATTGCGAGCACGTTGACGCGAGGGCATCGCAAAACGTTGAGGACGCAATGGAACGAGACCTTAAATTCTTTCAATTACTCGCATTAACAGTTTAGCGTGTACGAGATGTGTAAGAAGATGTATAAAATAAATCGATCGTATTACTAACGTAAACGTGTTATGATATAACGAAGATTTTAATAATGGCAAGATAAATGTATCGATCGTTAATAAAGCAGAGTTTAATAATGTGCGACTGATCTCGAGCTGCGAAACTATAAATTCTCCGTACAAACTAATTCGGTGTTGTAGAAATAACATCCCGATCCCGAAATCTTTTGACCTTATCACGTAGAGCGAGAAGGTGACGGAGCCCGAACTGAATTCCTCCACGTTAAGTCAGAGTCCTGCCATGTTTTCCAATGAGTGTGTAAGAGAGGAGATCTTTTATAGCGTAATCATAGCGCAGAGATAATCGCGTTTCTATTTACGAAGCTGTAAGACCTGCGAAATATTTATAGCGTAGCGTAGCGTCTTTACTCGCGATGTGCAGTATTTGTTAAGGGAGTTCGTGTACGTACATCAATTTTCGACCGTGTTGTTTCTCTCCGCTTCAATTTATCATAGCTAACGATCGACGCGACGCATCGAACGGTAACATAAATTATCGCTATTACAGCTTGAATTGACAGCTCGGTTAAACTTATGCTCGCCAGAATTTTCTGATAAATAATTAGACGACGACGGTGAGAAGCTCGGAGTAACGATCGTGGCCCGCTTCGCGAAATTGCGGTCTGAGGCCCGGTCTCACCAAACGTTTCGCTTAACTTTAATCTTAGTTTAATTCATGCTTATCTCTTTCTAAAGTAACAGTTGGAAAGGGACAAAGAACGAATTAAGCCTAAGCCTAAGGTTAAGCAACGTTGGAACCGGGTCTGACCGATTTAATCGATAGCTTCTATACTTAATTTGGGTATATCTCTGGTTGCTTCGAAGGTGTTTGTTAATATCTAAGAAAACCGTTGAGAGAATTCCGTCGCGGTGGCACGCGGTCAGAGGAATATTAGTGCCGAGATAAATTAATAATCGCGCGAGCATGTAAAGATACAGAGCACAGCGCCATATGCGAGAAAAAGTAATGTGTTCTCCCGGACAGTTAATCGTATACTCGTACCTACTTGTTTATCAATGTTACATGAGACGAACTGGCTGTGATTATGTTAGTGTTATCGTCGACATGATTACACATTACTAAATCTTGTAAATACAAATGATTAAATATAAATATATGATTACACACACATGCACGCGTGCTGTGATTTCGCCGCGTGTCTGCGAGACCCCCCCGTTATCTTCATTGCATATCGAAACAATCGATTGCCAGCAATAAAATTCGCGCGAGTCGTATGACGTTTTACAAACCGGCGCGAGCCGCAATCTCGAATTCCCCATCGAACTGTCCTCCTCTCTGTATTTGAATTATTAACTGTTCCCATTCAATATCCGTCATTATTATTCTGTAGAATATCGAGGACATGATATTTTGAAGATTAGAGTTAATTAGGTTTGCAATTAACTCCTCGCATTAATTTCGATTGAATGGGCCACCTCTTTTATCGGAGATTCATTTTCCCAAACAATTCCCGCGATGTAATTACATTATTTTAATAACATGATCGTCGCCTATATTTTGCATTTTATGTATTAAAATAATTTCCATGGAATTTTTTTCGATATTATTACAGACAATGTTTTTGTCAGAAAAACTGGAAAAAAAGTTTTATTTCACTGGCTGCGTTTGATTAAAAAGGAATAATTGGGCAGCTTTGTAAAAATTAATTTTATCGGAATATATAGATGCATTATATTCTGCTATTTACAGTAGAACATTTTTAGCGAAAGAAGGAGTGATAAAAAGGAAAGAAGCACAAGAAAATAAAGGTAAGATAATATTATATAAGAGTTTATTACAACGAGTATAACATATATGATACAAGCCTCTGTATGCGGCATTTAAAGCGAAGCCTGTCAATTTTTAGACAAATTTAAATTACATATTATCGAGGAACATAACCGTAATCGTCTTTTTCGAAAGAGCAGGTTTCTATTATTTGCTCAAATTTAATAAGATTACTTTAACGTTTTCACCGCGAAAAGTTCTAACGGCGCTTCTGCCCGATGAATGTACAAGAACATTAAGGATTGCGAAAATACCTCGAGGACGCTGAAGAATATTACATAACGTATAAAAATGAAACACTCGGACGACTCAATAATACAACGTTTTATAAAAATCACAACAAAGCATTCTTATAACTCTCGATATAATATAGTATCAGCACGAATACAGATGCAAATACTTGTGTCGTAATGTATATTTATTATTTTTAATTTAACGTTATTCGATGACGGCGCCGATTCAAAAAGTAATGCCGAAAGTAATGAACGACATTAATTGAATCGACGTCACGATCTGTAAAATTATTTTAGCATCATTGACAACAACGTTCGCGGCTGACTGATCTTGGCGCCCGCCTGCATACGTACCCACGTGTACAGCGATAATAGGATTTATCAACGTATTTTAATTGGTTTGATTCAATAGACTCGAGTTTCAATCAGTGATGCCATTGAGATCGTTATTATAACTTAAGAGCTAATATAAAGTGTACCTATTGTTATTCGTGTTACGATGCAACATTTACAGAGAATTAGCACGAAATTGTGAGAGGCATCTCCGCGAGAGTCGGCTCTTCCGATGTCGAATCACTTTTCCAACCAGAATTGAATATCGATTTGCGCGCGGGAAAGATTATTCAACACCTGAAGAGGCTCGAGTCGTGCAGATTTTTTTCCCTCTTTCTCGTCGAAATTTTCATTTTTCATAAATGTTCACACACACAATGGCCGGCTATCATATATGCCACAAATCTAATTCGTCTACAAAAGAGGTGTTATTTTGCGGGGCAATTTAAATTCGGCACGAGCGTCTTGGAATGGTTGTTCTCCCCCCCCTCCCCTCATCCCTTTCCTCCTCTCCTTTCTGCACCGCCGTATTCCAACCTGATATCTTTTGCATTCGGTCTGGAGAGATAAATTACGAAGATAAATCAAAACGGCACCCCCCGTCTGCTCGCCCCGCCGGTATATAGACGGATAATTCCCATTAAAGAAGAAAGGCGGTCGTGGCGAGCGAATACCGCGCTAACTTCCGCCTTCATCCACTTATCCTTCGAGGCACGGAAGGACTATTCCTCACAATTACATCCTGATCGATCCCGCCAGGACGTGGATTCTCCCAAGGCCCGCGTTTATGACCGCCGCGCGACGTCCTGGGAATAATGCTCCCCGATACAGCGAGGGAAACCGACGGGCACGAAAGAAATTAGAAGGAGGAATCTGGAAATCCCGGGATAAGATGAGAGACGACAATCGCGGCGAACTATAAGACGGATTATACGGGCGATAGCTCTAATCGAAAGAAAGGTCAATTACGCGCGCGGATATTCGCAGAAAAAGCGGAAGAATGTCAAACTGTCATCGATCCTTAATTGATAAAAAAAAACCCCCGCGGCAGATATTAGAGAGACCGTGCTCTCGTTCAGTTTCGTGCAATACGTAATCTGTCTTCTATTACTTCTTGAAAACTGTCAGAAAAACCCAAGATTTTTCTATATCTTTCTACTTTTTTTTTAGAATCGTAGACATTAATTATTATTCACTTATCATCGTAGATATTAATTTACGAATGTTCAGATGTCATCTCGTCCCGCGTAAGAAGCCGAGAGATGCTCGCGAAGAAAATTAATCTGCGAGGCAGCGAAACAATTAAGGATCCGGTGCTTAAGTTTCGCCAGTTTATATAAATCCGCTTGTGATGCAGCTGCATTTGAGACGAAAACTTGGAGACTCCGTAATGATGCGACCAGCGCGATACAACCCGGCGTGGATATTACATCCAGTTAGAGTAATCTGACCACGAACGTCGGTGTCTCGTTATCGAGGGTCATCGAGACTGAGTCTATCGGTTCTGCCTGGATAATTACGTGGTCCAAGTTGTCCGAAGTTCTGGCCGAAGATTCATCGCTCTGCCAAGGTGTCTTGACGATGCAACAACGGTCTTGGTAGTTTCAGAGATTCCTAGTTTCGGGTAGCGTATAACTATATCAATAGACGAATTTTGTGTTGCCACAGTAAATCCAACATCTAACGCCGCGGAAGGTGACGGTGAGACATTTTTGCAAGTCGATTTCCCAGAAAATTTGACGGAGTTTTATCGAGTACAAAAAATTAGTGCTGAAGCGAGCATATTTCCCCTCCGTTACGATAAGACCGGCGATTACCGTTTAATTCGGCAAAATGCACGGCGATAAGAAAAGTCTTCGACTTAAAAATTTTAAAACTTTAAAATCCTCGTAAAGTCCCATTACAAAGTTATGCAAATCGGAATATCGTTCTCATATTTTAGTCTAATTTTACGTGGATGTTCCATTTTTTTTATTTCTTGCACACTTAGTACCAAGATTTCAAGTATTATTTAAATCCCAGGAGTGTCGCGGAGTTGTCGCTATTATTGTAAACTCGGTAGAGCCTCAAATCACACGAAAGGCGCTTGAAAACTGCGATTGTATCGCCGTGAAATTGTGAGCACCGTTTTAGCCGGTCACGAGAATATTTTTTGCGCAACGTGCACTTGGAATTTTTCTCGAACGCGGGACAGTCCTATTTTATCGGGCGTACGCGGGACTGTTTTTACGGCGACGTCAAATCGATTGTTCGATTAACATTCCAACTGTTCGCACCGGACACCAATTTCCGTGCACCTGCATTCCTCACAGGGACTCGAGAGCTCCGTGATAATTCTGCCGACGCGATACATTCGCCCGTATATATTGCAACCGGCCAGCTTCAGCAAACTGCCGACGGACATTGGTATCTCGTTGTCGAGGACCTTCGAGGACGTCTCGACAGTTTCCGTCTCCTCGGTTAACCTTTCCGTACTCGTCGATAAAGCGACGAGGGTCTCCTGATCCTCTCGTGCACCGCTGACGGAGGAAACATTCGGCGTCTTTGTGGTCTCGGTCAGCTTGTTGCTGGAACTGGTGTTGGAGGAAAATAGCAGCTTAAGGACGCTGTCCAGAGAAAAGATGGCGACATCTTCCTCGGCGTCCCCCGCGGTCTTTCCATCTTCACTTGGGAAATTATCCGATTCGGTACGATTGTCGTATTTCGTTGTACGATTGCCCTCTTCGCCGGCGAAGTTTCTATCGAGATCGCTGCTCTCGGATACGTTTCCCTTCGCGAACTTCTGCTCCGTAGTATTGCTCCGATGGAAATCGTACTTGGAACTGTCGGCTGTGCGATTTAACTTGGTCAACGCCGCTCCGTCGTAATCGAAGACGTTTGCTTCGGGATTTTCGGAGGGCTTACGATCCAAGACCTGATTCTTGGAATCGTACGTTAACGAGACGGTGTCTGTCGGGGGTGCTTCGTGGCTCGTACCGTACTTCACTTTCGTCAAGAAAGAGGGCTCGATCGTTTCCTCTCCGTAATCGAAGGGCGGCTGTATAAGCGGTACCTGCTCCATGAAGTCAAAGTTCGGCGAATGCTGCAATTGATTGCCCGCCGAGCCTTGAGCCGAGGTCTTCGGGGCCGCCATGGACGTCGTCGACCTGGGCGTTGTGATGCCGCGTTCAACCAGATACGGGATCATGTCTTCGATCAGGGATGGTAAGTCGGGGGCTGGCTCGGTCTTGATTACGTCGCGAAACGGATCCGGGGACACTGTGGGCTGTCGTTGAGAAGGCGCCGTGGCGTCGGCGCGGTCGAGCACCACCGTCGGCGATTCGTCGGCGTCGACTATAAGTGTTGGAAAAATAAAAATATGTACATGCCTCGAGTCTGTATAACATTTCGGGTAAAGTCCCGTAATACGACGACGTGAAATATACCGCAAACAATTTTTCCGCAACACTTCTCCTCGGAATCGATTCTGCGACAGCCAATTTTCAATGGCGGACACTTCTCCGAGGAGCAGACGATTTCCCCATAATAACACATGCAGATTATGCAAAGAGCGGCGCGTGGCAAGATCTCGCCGTGGCGGTATTCCAGATCTTCAAAGCGGCACTTGTGTGATAAATCTAGTTTGACAAAGTCAATTAATGACATATATTAAAGTTTTATGTTTAATCTATCAGATTTTTCATGGATTAGCAATCAATCGAGAATACGTACCGTTGTTCTTTTGATGTGGATTCGTAATTTGTGGAACTACAGTAACTCCAGTGCCAATCTCGAGATTTAAGTCGGTGGAGCGGTAAGGAACGTCGAAGTACGATGGCTCTCTGGGTACAAAGCCACCTACGAATAGAGATCTATTGCTTATTATTTATAAAAAAATATTATGATCCGCAGTATTAAAATTAATCAATCTTACACCGATGGGAAAACCGCTGACCAAAATACACCGATGCCCACAAATGCCCAGTGGGCATTACTTTATCTTATTTTATCTTATTTTATCTTATTTTATTTGTATAATGCCCCGGCGAGGCCTAATGCCCAAAAAATGCCTAGTAACGTCCAGTAATGCCGTAAATCTGTACACCACAACCGCCCTCAGCGGCTTCCCCCTCGTCTTACACGGAAATATGATTACCACATGTCTAATTAGGGTTGGCACAATCCCAATAAATAGTAATATTTGGGACAGCTATATCTGTGGTTGTCATACCTATATGTAAGTAGTGGGCACAACCACATGCGCCTTGTGCAGTAAACTTAGTGACGTTGCAACACAACTACGTTGCAACACAAGACAATGTAGATGCCCCAACTATTTAAAATTTAATTATTTTTGCCTTGGCCGGTCTTTCCGTGTATTCAAGTAATAAAATAACGATATTATATTTTTTTATGCAGCTACACAATACAAACTGTTTTAAAAGTATATACACGTCCTGAAAGGAAACCTCAGGTATGGATGAAAAATTGCTTTTTAATATATATATATATATATTGAACTTTTATAGCATCTTTTATTTGTACATTTTTGCGCCCAGACTATTCATTTGACTTCTTATAGAGAATCATAAAATACCTTCGGTCTCTACGGGTGGGCTAAATCGGTTCTCCTGGGTTGCAATATCATAAAAGCCGGAAGCATCGGTCGGTCGTAGCTCAGGGGGCACTACAACTGAACCAGGAGGATATCCAGTCTCAGACGTGGGTACATCCTTGCCTTTCACCAACGCATCTGCCGCTACAAAGGGTATTATCCTACAATAGCAAAATTTATTTTTGATATATAATTTTTACATTGTTGTCATATATATACAATATGTATAGAGAAGTAAAAAAATAAGAATTTTAAGAATTTAATTAGAATTAAAAAAATTAACTTAGTGCTTCACGCGCGGGATTAACTGCCGTATTTTTTTTTCAAATTACATTGTTCGCAAAACAAAACGTATTATATCTTAAATTTTATGCGAAAAGGATACAACATAAAAAAAGCACTCCACATTTTCTGCCGTTAACCGACGTAAATCGGCATCAATCAGTTGTTTTCGACAAACGATTTCAATTTAATTCACGGCAGTATTCCCCGGCCAACAAAACTCGCAAAAAGCGGTTCCGTTATAAGCGTGAAAAATTGATTGCACATCGTGCCAGCTAATAAAAAGAAATAAAACGCGCTATATCGATTACATCGACTGCGCTACGTTGCACCTGCCGATACTTTCGTGCATTCTACAAAAATATTGCAATTATAAAATTCGTAAAAAAAAAAAACATTTATATACCCTTCGCACTTCCCACGAGCGGAGGTGGTCCAGTGTCAAATCACGGAACCGGAATACGAGATGATGATGGATCGAGATATGATAATAATAGTCACCTAACGTTCGGCAGCGACGGCGGCAGAAGTCGTTCGCTGTAGTCGTAGTCGTAATCCTCGCCTTTTTCTCGATGAGTGATGTTCAGGATAGCCTCAATGTCGGGCGGAATGGACCTAATTGGATTTATCGTGACACCTTGTATGTGGCCCACCGAGACATTCGTCTTCACTGTCACGTTCATTACGAGGACGTCATCCGGCATGAGTATCGTCGACGACGGACTGGTGACGGGTCTCTTGCCGATGGTCTCCGTTCTCTATTTCATACGCGTATAATGAACTTACTTGTTCTTTTTTTTTCCCCCTGACAGTAACCTTTCAGTGAACGTATATTTTACGAATCAAGTCGCATTTTACGGTTTTATTAGCGAAAGGACGCTTTATAAAAAGAGATTCAAGATAGTCTCGTTGTAACTTTAAGCATTTTTAAGTAATTATAGTCACAAAAATATTCGACGCGGCGATGGCTTTTAGTGTTAAACTGCATAAAATAATTGGAATTTATAAAAATCTGTGATTGTTTCCTGCTTGACTTTTGCGAAACTATCTCATGATTTTGGCGCGAAAATTGTAATCATTATTCCTCCTTTAGTCGTTACCTTAATGAGTGTAGGGTTCTCGGACAATTTCTCGTCGGGGATAAGCGTTTCCTGGGCATTCGTGGAAGCTGCGAAAGGATGCATCGTAGCTTTGTTTTTCTCAATTATATCCGCTTTCCCTGCCATCGTCGTCCCGCTCTCCGTAGCCGCGTCTTCGTTCCGCTCCTCGTTTTCGCTCGCGTTTTTGTTCCCATCCCCGCCGGCAGCCTCGTTTTCATCGTTTCCATTATCGAGCGCTAATTCGGGAAGCATCGTCGTCCACTCCGACAACGAGACCGTCGAGCCATCCCTGCTAGATGGATCCTCCGTCGTCGCGATCGTGGAGTCCGTGAATGTGTTTGTTAAGCACGTGATGCAGGAACCGGTGCTGGAATCAGCATCTTTGGTGGACGCCGGGGTCGATTCGAATGCTGCTGGCGATTCAGTGTTACTCGATAACTGGCGAACGAAGACAAATAATTGTTAACGCCGGACTGATTTATGATCGTATTTATGTTTCCGTGAACCGAGGAAAGCAGTAACGCATCAAGGCGATAAAAAAATTGCACTCCGACAAATTGCAATGTTTTTATTGAGACTAATAGGAGAGAGATATTATCCAATTTAACATTTGTCTTGTTCACTTTGCCATCCGTTATTGTTACATCTATTTTGAAGATATTTGTGTTGCGTACACGTCGACATGAATAACACGTTTGAATTATATTTTTACATCCGCGGTAGTAATGTGTATGTCTGTCAATTTACCAAAAATGGATCACGCGAGGGTCAATAAGCGGGGATTTAAAATAATAAATATGTATTTGCATGTCGCTCATTCGAAAATCTGCGACGAGCTGTAACTTTTATAGATGGGTCGCTTTCGTTATTGAAATGATCATCACCTCGTTCGTTGAAGTTGCGGCAGTCGTCACTTCCAAGGTCGATTTATAGTCCACCGTCCCTATCAAGATTTCATTGTCCATGATGTCGGTCTCCGTGGTCGAGGGCCAAGCGGTCGAGTAGGTAGCGACAGACGAGTCCTCCTCGAGATCGATCGCGCTGGTGCTAATCCGTTCCTCGACCACTCTATGACCTCGTCCTTCGACGGGCGGATTCGTAGATTGATCAATCGCGGGCTGAACAATTAATGACAAGCTCTCGTGCCGTAAATCGATTAGGATCTCTTCACAGGGGGATCTTTTTTTTTCTTACAAAACTCTATGCGCGCTTCAAAGTCTACTCGTAATTCGATCGGCCGAGTCAATTTAATAATGATTTCGCCTAGTTCGCGTTCAATCGGGCAACTCGGGCTCAATTGAATACTCAATTTTTCCCCGATATTGGAGCACTATATGGGCATTGATAATGTAGACGCGTCGTAGATCATTTAACCAAAGGATTTTCGAAACGCGGGTGCTAGCCGTGAATTTATACAGGTGTGTTATAAATAATGTTTAATGTTACGTAAAAACTATGAAATACTGAAAGTGAGTAAAATAAACTAAACGAAAAGGTTAATTTTCAGTACATAAAAATTTACGTACTTGAGAAATACAAGTTTTTACAGGCAACGAATGGAAACAATGTTTATAAAATTCGTATGCAATAAAAGCACGAAGTTTCTCTTAATTCAACGTAAGGAACTATCAGATCCCGTTATCTCTTAGTATTGACGCGCGATTGATGCGCTCGTTCAAGAATCCAAGTTTGCGACGAACCCTCAGAATCCGCCGCAGTTGTCTCCATTGTCTGAGTAGATTCCCGTGTATCTCGCGAGATTCGAATTCTCTATAAATGGTATTCTGTACTAACGACGCTGCCCATTAATAATAACGCAACACATCCATAATAGATACGTCGTCGCCCGATCGGAAACTCGTATCGTGCTACGTGATCCAATAAGGTATGCTTCATTCCAAATTCCTGAACTAAGTCGAATGTCTAACGCGTTTATAATCAATGTTTCGGGTAGATTTCATTGATTAAATTCCGCCGACTACATAAATCACCCCCCCTTAACTTCAATCCCATGAGCATGTTCCTACTATTTGGTAACTTCGGGATTTAGGATAGCAAGCTTATTTAGAGCAGTTAGAACTATTTAGCAGAATTCGCGAAAACGGCGACGCGATAATTTATGTTTCTACAGGGGTAAAAAGAAGAAGAGAAAACGTACGAAAAAGTTGGTCTCCTTGCGGAACTTTGCGTAGTCCTTGCTGACGAAGGCGTAGGATGCGTAGTTTTGGGTGGCCTTTACTTCGATGCTGCCGCCTTGAACGTTTAATCTCTCAGTATTTTTGCAGTATCCAAGAAAGAATATGTGTACACGCACGTATGGGGGCATAGGGTAAAGTGGGCTAATAGGGCAAACCGGGGTACCAGTGTTTTCTAGCCTGCGTGATGTGTGCTGAAACGCGACGGAGGGCCGTCGTGTCGAATTATTTGTAAATTTCTCCATTTCACGCGGTTGCGGCAAAAGTAGCTAAATTAGTTCGTTTATACGACGCGTATGCTATTTTCGCTCCCTTTCATATTTACGCTGTGTTTACAAGAAGGTACGTGTAGAATTGTACAACAGCTTCTATGAAAGACTGATTTCCACTATCTGTAGCTTATACTTTTGCAGTATTACGTATATAATCGAAAAATATGTAAGCTAGGTGTTTACATTAATTTCTCTTTTCCCTTCCAGATAATGAATATGATTCTTTTTGCATTCCCGAACTTATTACTTCGAATATTAAGCACTCCACTTTGCCCCATGTTGGCAGAGCCCACCCGTCTTGTGTTTCCCTGATCGACAGATGCATGTACGTATTAAAAGTACGTCCGCAAAAAAGAGCACGACCGACGCATGTTAATTCCATTTCAATTAAACGTAAACACTGTACATGTCAATTTTGTATCGGTCCAATGTCCCTACGGATTTACATTGTCGCGAAGAAGTTTATTTAATTACCAACGAGTCTATAACACTGTACATTGTGCAGCGAGATTTATTAAGTTTCGATTCTCTTTTCGCGCTGAGTTTAAACGACAGTACACCCCAATTTTATTCCATTTTCACCATTAAAGTATGAAAAATACAGGAATCGAATATCAAAGAGGATTAATCCAGCAACTGTACAAATAGACATTTTATATTGATTAAATTAATAATGACTAAGAATACAGAAGCAATGTCTGGGCAATTTGCATAACCCGAGAGCGAAATATTAATTTCCACCAAAAAAATCATAGTATAAAGTAAAGCCGTATCATGTATATATGTATTTTTGAACTAGACGCAAAAAATATCAGCGGCATTTGTTAGTGGATAAAACATGCTTTTAAGTCGGTGTTTGCAGGTCATTGGCCGATTTTCGTTCGGTAGATGCATATTTCTATCCACCACGATATTAATATCGATGGCTATCGCGCTCGCAGAGCTGCCATATTGACTGTATCGAATAAACGCTCCCGCGCGGAAATTAAATCCTCTTTTAATTCGCAGATGTTTCTCGCTTCCAAGAATCGGCGTGTTTAATTCGCTTACCCGCGCGCAAAGCCGGGCAAAATATTTTATTTTCCTTTCCGCGAGCGCGTGGATGCCGAATGAAATATTCCCAAAACCCGAAAACGAGACGCTGTTTTGACGGTGGCATTCGTTATTCTCTCGCATCGGCATGCATCAAATAAATATTTTCGTTTTCGGTAAAATATTTTTTTCACCGAGCCTTAACCGAACGAGACTCAATTCAGCATCGGCCTGCGATCGACTTCCATTATCATACCACAGTCGCGTGTGCAACGGGAAACTATTTTCGAAAATATACGTACGAAGAAAAGGGTCCAATTTCATATTAAACAAAGGCGCTTGCCACTAAATATAACCAATAGAAATAGAATAAAACATATTCAGTAAAGGGACACCTCTCAATTTTTTGACGCTCGAGGCACAGTATTATAAAACTCGCTAAAATTGAAAAATCCGGGAAATGTCGCGATTCAAGGACATATTAGAGCACGCGCATCGGGGTGAAAAAATTATTTTCATTCTAATCAAACGATTTTTCAAACTATAATACGATTGTTTGTGTACCTGGTTGTTTTTTTATTTATTCCACAGTATATTTTCCGTGAAAAGTTTTGCCGTGAGAATATTACGAAAAGCGTTAATAGTCTCGTATTTCGATATTTTCCAGCATCGCGTTTTTTCCCCCCTGATATTTCATAATGGTCCGAAAATGAAAGGCAATATTCCCGACCAAGGAATTTCGCGATTAATTCAGCGGAAAACACAATCCGGGCGTAAACCGGCGGACAGGGGTGCGAGCGTGGGACAATTCCGGCGCGAATTTTGCGTGAAACTCACTGCAGTTGTAGGTGGACGGGCAGCATTGTCCTTCTCGCACGATCGGGCTGCAGCCTTGAAGAGGCGGGGCGCACGCAAGCGGAACGCACCGTATGGCGCCCATCGCGCAGAAACAATTGTCGCATGCGGCCTTCCACTCGATGTCGCGGACCATCTCGCCCTCGACGTAAACGCGCTCGCCCACGCGACAGCCTGGACGATCATGTGCCGTGAGAGAGTCGTGAGAATCGTGCGGAAACTCGGGCCTCCCCGCGTAATCTCTTCCGCCCCGCTCGCGCAGAAAATACCGCGAACATCCGGATATTCGGGGCCCGAATATCCAGACGTTCCGGCCAGTACTGTGATTTCTGGAACTTCGATAGCGCGGAGAAGAAAGGAGAGATATGGCTTGGGGCTGTATGTTACTAGAATGTGCATTCAAATTTCATGCGACAATGTAACAATCTATAAAACCGCAGAATTATTTCTACGAGCGAGTAATTTCGATCTTGGCCAATCCCCATTTTGACCAACGCTTCGCGCTCGCTAAAAGTCAATCAGTGGATTTTCACTGAAAACGGTGAATAGCCACTGATTTACAGTTAGAAGTGTACCACTGCGATTTTCAGTGGTACACACGGAAAAAAGTTTCTTTGAAATCAAACAAATTTTCTGTAAATTTTTACCTTACTTTTACTTAATTTCTAAGAAATTATTTCTTTACCTTAACCAAAATTTTACTCGGTCGAGGCTGGGAATCTCTAAGAGAATTCATATCTATTTCTTCGGATCTAGCAAGTGCTTTCAGTCGAAGTAAATAAAAATTTAGTAGATTCAAAGAAATATGATTTCAACGCACTCTGCACGGAGAGAATTTTCTTTTAAAAGTTATCCTGAAAATCAAGTATAATCATGGGACAATGGTACATGGTAAAGTGTATGGTAAAATTTCCAAAAACTCTCACAAACTTCTTTCTCAAAATGCCAAGTTGTCTCACGATTACATGATTTTCAGGGTAAATTTTAAGAGAAAATTCTCTCTGTGTGGGTGTATGCTTATGATTGCAAATTAGTAACTACTTACTGTAAAACCAAGGCAATGAAGAAAAGGCAATGGGAGCCTGTTACCGCGGATATTTGGTACAAAATGTTCAACAAGGACTAAATAATAATAGGTTTAATGTATTTTTTACCTTTTGTCTTTTCTTTATTTCCTGAGTTTTGTGATTCTGGAGCCTGATAAATTGTATTATAATATTTCTACTATTCACTGCTTTCAGTGATAATCCACCGATTGACTTTTGGAGAGTAGAGATCCTTCAGAAGAAGATTAGATAGATAAAACGTGACAAGTGACTGATAGAATGCCATCAGTTACTGAGCAACTAATCGGTTCTTTTTCTCAAAGGGATATAACGGTCGCGCGTTCCTGTCTTCGCTGAAGAGTTTCTATCCCGTTTGAGCAGGGCTGTACGCATAACTTCGCATAACGTCGCTCTCTTCGTGGCGTCGTCGTGTTAGCCTCGTAACAGCCTCGTCCTGACGAGCGGTGACCTCGAGGATGTTTGTTCGTCCGGGAGAATTAACGAGCCGCTGTGGTTCGAATCGTTATTTACCGACTTCATGGTCGGTCATCGCGACTGAGGGCCGCGACGCCGGCCGCCCGACGGGGGTGGTTTTCGGTGGTGCCCGTTTAAAATTAAGCCATCCCCGAATGTCCCGGCAGCCAGTGACAGCCGTGGCGTCGTCGTAGCGACCGAGGCTTAAAGCCCCGGCTTAAATTTAAGCGGCCGCGGTGAAACCGGGCGTTAAATGAACGGCAACCCCGGCCATCCGAAGCGCCGGCTCGCAGTTTCCCTCCGGAGCAAAGTGTCGGGAGGTACCCACTGACTCTTCTTTATCGCGTTACACGTCCCTCTATAGCTGTCGGATCCCCATAACGTGAGAATCCAGAGACGATTCCTGCGGTGCTCGCTCCCGGGGATATCAGCTCTCGTGTACAGCGAGCGGCTACTTCGAGGTGCGCGTTTTTCCCGGGACCGTAAATACCAATAGAATTGAGAGAAAAGATCGAAAGCTTCGATGCTGAATCGGCTATTTTATAAACGATTTGAAATTCGAATAAAATTACAAAAATTTAATTTAATCCGTCTTAAACTGGATCTTAAAAAAAATGATGTATCAACAAGATCAATGTAATTGAAATAAAATCGTTGAAACAACATCAGTATTAATGAATGAAAAATATCAAATTGTGTTAATAATCTGGATATTTAGTTCAATGCTTATTAAATATTAAAATCTGTAGCAAATACAATGGAGTGAATTGTGTTTGTGGCAACCCGTGACGTTAACGTTTAATTCAATCAACTTCATTTTTTAATTCAACAGCATTTTGCTGTGTGTGGAAAGGAATATCTAAAAAAAGATCTTTAGCATCTTAATCTTCTTGAATTATTACAGCGACTACACTTTCAATTTAATGTTTGAAGAGATGTTGAGTTTATCAAAAATTTCCTAATCATTTCTTGACTAAGATATAAGAATCGAATATTTTACAGTTTAAATTTTAATAAATTTAACAGTTTAAAATTTTAGTAAATTATCAAAATTTAATTCAGTTTTTCTTAAACTGGATCTTACTCTAAAAAGGAAAATTTCAAGAAAGACCCTCAGCATCATAATCTACTTGAATTATTACAGCAATTACACTTTCAATTAAATGTTTGAAGAGATGTTGAGAGTTTATAAAAAATTTCCTAATAATTTCTTGATTAAGGTATAAAAACACCTTTAAGATGCCTGGCACTCGTTTCAAAATATTTACATACGTTACTTTAAACAGTACGTCATTATATTTTCTTGTAACTTACGGCTTAAACCGCCAGGCGATGAGATCCAGCATTAAATGAACCTCGTCGGCTATCCGGAGGTGGAATCCTTGTGGAGCAAGTGTCGCGGGGTGATATAACGTCAGCAGTAACTCTTCGTTATTAAGTTACACATTTCATCACAACTTTCGAGAGTGCGCTTCGGCGGAGAGCTTTAGTCGCGCGGCGGTAAATTTCGGAATAATCTCTAATAGCCCCGATTTTCTTCAAGTTTTCTATTCCCACGGGCGCGCTTTAATAAGTTACTCGCTGAGTATACGATGCCAATGTAAAGCAATCTCCGTTTGTTCGCTGTATCACACTTATCATGTTACGCTACCTCTATTAGCGTTCAATTCAAAAGAGTTCGTCCACTTTCATGCACAAGCCCTGATTCAACAGGAGTTAAACTCACTCTCTAAAAGTCGATCAGTGAATTATCACACCCAGAAAAAAAGTGTCTTTGAAATGAAAGAAATTTCGACCTCACTACACTTTTCTTTAATTTCACAGAAATGATTTCTTTACCTTAACCAAAATTTTATTTGATTAAGACTGGAATCTCGAAGAGAATTCACATCTACTTCCTCAGATCTAGCAAATCTTTCAGTAGAAATAAATAAAAATTTAGTAGATTCAAAGAAACATGATTTCAACGCATCTCACTTGTTTAACCTGATTAAATCTTTTCTTCCGTGAAAGAAGACTCGTGATTGAATTCCGGTGTTGAAAACCTGCTATCTCATATTAGAAACCTATCTCACACGTAGAGGACCCTCTATACAGGGTGTACTAAAACCACCGGATATCCTTTTAATCATAAATTCTTTAGAAACTTTCAAGACAAAAATTCTAATACAAAAATGTCGAGGCTATAATAGTTTTTAAATAATAAGCGATGACATTTCACAAATGACAGGCCTGAGATTTCGCGCGCTCAGGTACGGCGACACGACAAGTGATAAAGGTGTTCCTACGAATATCGCTCTTTTTAGCATAGCGACAACTTTCACAACAGACTTAACGATTCATTCTCGAATTAATTGTTCCTCTTGTTATCTTTAACCATTTCTTTTGTTAACTTTGTGTAACGTCTTATTAATAAAAGGGAGGGGTTCACTATGATGAGCATCTGATATCCTTCGATTTAGTCGATCTCCGATATTCTGAGTGAACTTGGAATTTTCAGTTAGATTCAATCTAGTCTCCTGCCTCTCTTTATCCTCAAGTTTTCAAAATAACCGGATCATCGTCTTCCCAAATAATTTCTGTCCCGTTAAACGGTGACTTTGGTTCTCGCTCGCTCGCGAAACACATAGGAACACTTTTATCACTCGTCATGTCGCCGTGCCTGAGCGCGCGAAATCTCAGACCTGTCATTTGTAAAATATAATCGCTTATTATTTAAAAACTATCGTAGCCTCGACATTTTTTAATTAGAATTTTCCTCTTGAAATTTTCTAAGGAATCTGAGATTAAAAGGATATCCGGTGGTTTTAGTATACCCTGTATAAGGCGTTACTATTCGTGCTATTTATATAATAGTCGGTCGAATTCACTTATTAATGAAAATAATATTTGACAAAACTTTTATATCCTTTACGTCGGAGTTCTATTAGATTTATCAAAAGCCACAGGCTAAACACCTCCGCGTAACAGCACGAAGCTTTCGATCGCGCTATCGAGTTTCCGGGAAATTTCTCGACTGGCGGCATCCGCTCTCTCGAATTCAGTTAAGCGGACCAGCTCGTAAATGACAACAATTTGAACTCACCGTTTCCCGATACCGGCGCCATTGTGGACGGATGGTGGTCTTGAAAAGAAATAAGGAGAGCCATTGGTAAGGTACTTTAAGTAACTCGCGACGTCGCCGTGATAAAAGTACACTCACGGGTGCAGTTATAGGCGACCGGGCAGCAGGAATGGGGCGCGTACAGCGGGGTGCATCCCGGCAAGGGTAGCAGGCACTTGGGTCGGACGCATTTCCTCGAGCCGGATATGCAGTAGCAGTATTCGCATCGGCGCGAGCCCATCATCGCCGACCCCGAGCCGTATCGGATCCCGTCGTGCAGACACCCTAATTTAACATTTAAAGTTCATTCGAGATTCTTTTATCCCAATTAGGGAGAGGCGCTGAGGTTCCGACGCGAAAATCTCAAGCGTTGCCACGGGCTTCCGAAGAAACGGGGAAAGTACGAAGCGAGCAGTTTCTTCGGAGATGCACGATTTTCGCGTTCCGATATCTGAAACTTTTAATTATACTATCTTGCACCTTGCATCCGCTGAGCGAGCTTCATTTTGTTACGTTGGCTCGTATTCTTTTAGCACACTATGTTACTCTATCTGCCCAGGCATTGCGTCTCTTTTCGATGTAATATCCGCCACTCTTTTTATCCGCCATTTATAGATACCGTTTTACATCCGACGTCATCTGTTTGTTTCAGAAAAAACGGGAAGATCTATATACAACGGTTAATCTTTAATTGCAATCCGGCACTGAATGGAGTTTTTGGAATTTACGTTAAATTGCTCTCGTTAAGATCGTTCTTGTCTGTGAGATAGTACGTGAGCTTCGTCGAACTTGGGCGAAGTTTCTTGGCGCCCGATAATTTATTTAACAATGCTTTCAGGAAAGACACAGGCTGTATATATTTATAAAGTAACGTAAAAGGTTGTTGTCTCAAGGGGAAGTACAATCCGACGAAATGCTATTGTGTTTTAATATTTAATATGTTTAATTCTGTTACTTGTTAACTTGGAATTTTAATTTTATAAACAGATTTCGTAAATTCCACAGTTTCCAGGAGAAACGCTTAAATTCGTTCGCTTGTGCGAATCGAAATACGATAATAATGTTAAACAACTCGCGTAAGTAGCTAATAAATAGTAACCTTCTTATCGTGATTAACAGAGATAAATGTGTCAAGTTGCGACAACGTCGAATCAATTGCACAATTGTATCGTTTAGTACACATTTCATTACTGCAGAAATAAAAGTAGCGTCGCGGTAAAATGTTACAGTGCCCAAGCCAATGTTGTAGAAATGAAAGAATGTACTGGCATAAACCTTGCAGCAACAAAGAAATCCTGAATTAATTTAAAATTACGTTCGTTTCAGCAGTAACGAGCCATCTTAACCCCTTCTGTGTTATGCCCGAGTTTAGCCGAGTGTTCTTCTCTACCTTCCTCAATTTATTTACCCAAGTTTACTCGAGTGTAACGAGGCTCATTTATTTACCGCAGAGGTAGCCCAGACGCTCTTTTCAGAGAGACGGAGTTAGAATGGAAATTATTAAAAATAATAGCGCGCTGCTAATTTAACTCGGAGCACAGTCGCGATATATAACACAGTCGCCCGGGAAGAGAAAGCGAATCGATTTTTCTACTGTTTAAGCAGCCGTGTCGAAAATTATAAATTGCCCGCTGTAATAAGGTCAACGTCATATCGACGTTGTATTGTCATTTGATCAGGCGAGTGCAGCGCAGCGTAAAGAAGACGATTGTTTGTACAATACAGCGATACATTACCGGGAAGAACAAATAACAAAGTACAAAATCAACAAAATAGAAATACCTTCCGTACGTGAGTGGTGAGCATGCTTCTCCTCATCCTCAGCTTCCACGTTCGTTTGTACACTGGCTCGCCGCAACATATTCTCGACGTCGCCTGTAAGTCAGATAATAAATTTAAACCCTAGCCACGATTAACTCTTTAATCAGCTTCACCGCGAGGCCGAAACTTTTATGCGTTTCAGACGAACTTTAGTAAAAGAAACAAAGGCGAGGGGGCTGATACCGACACCTCCTATTCAACTCGCGAGAATAACAATTATATATTTAATATCGAACGATTAACTAAACGAAATAGTTAAAAGAAATAGTCACGCTCGTGTTTTAGTAACGACAAAAATTTCGAATTCACGACCAATATTATACAAGCAAGAATAAGATATAAAAATGTTGCAGGATTAACAACAGTTTATCCGACATAATAACAAATTTTTGTGTGAACGATTAATTATAATTTGCGAAGAATTTATATGCGGAAAGTATTTTAGGAAGATACTAGTGTATCTCTTTCTAACTTCCTGAATCCGTTCGGAGGGATTTCTCGATTCGCCGATCGCGAATGAATCGTATCGACAAGGTAGAGAAAAGTCCCCTGTTACGAGATAAGCTCCTGAATTAGATAGCGGGGTTTCTACTAAACTAATAGGCATCATCTGTTGGTTCCACTAACTCATTGCTCTTGCACCCAGAGAAAAAGTTTGTTTGAAATGAAACAAATTTATTTGAATTCTGACCTTACTAGACTTTTATTTAATTTCAAAGAAATGATTTCTTTACCTCAACCAAAATTTTATTTGATTGAGTCTGGAATTTCTAAGAGAATTCACATCTATTTCCTCAAATCTCGCAAATAGTTTTAGTAGAAGTAAATAAGTTTGTAGATCCAAAGAAACGCAATTTCAACCTATCTCATTTGTTTAGTCTAACTAAATTTTTTTCCTGTGTGTGAAATCTGTTTAGTGGAAAATTCATTGTTAGATCGTGTTGCGGGAACAAGACTTGTGATTGAATTTGGACGTTGAAAACCCGCCCTGTCTTACGTTAGCAGTCTATTCCATAATAGAGGACTTTCCTCTATTGATTAAAGAAAGGGATGTCATTGTACTAACGTGATTCGCCGCATACCAGCTCGGCGCAACATACGTTGTCGGCCGGCGAACGAACGTGACAGCCGGGCGGCGGTGGATTCGGCAATCGCGGGCACACGCGGAGCCGGCATCTCAACGCGCCCTCGGCGCACCGGCACCGCAGGCAGGGCTCGGACGTACCCACAGCCGTTCCTTCCTGATATCGGCGACCCTCGTATCTGCATCCTGCAATCGCGGGCAAATTTCTCGTTACGTAACAAAACTTTAATTATAGTGTCGGCCGGGTTATCGAAACTCGCAGAAGTATACACGGTGTCTCGCACGGCGCAATAACGTGCCCGGAATTTCGGAGCGTTGCGCTCCCGAGATTGCATATACCCGCGCGTCCGCGCGCGGCAGAAATTATAAATTTTTCGAAACAATTTTTCTACGCGCGCATATATGACAGAAATGTATAACCGGCGGTAGAGGCCGAATATTCTTTCCCTCGCATTCACTGTATATCTTTCATACATTACTTTGCTCGTAATTAATCTCAAATTTTCAAATCTTCAACTTTGAATTAATCATGTTCAATCTTTCTGCTTTTAAATTGTATCGCTTCGCAAATGCGTGAGCGAGGTTTATAATTGAAGATGTCAACCATGAGTTAATAAACACGCGGATTTAGAAATCTATGGATTCCCGTACGTGAAGAGAAACGAAAAAGTTGCCGTACAATTTTATTTACTGCTATTCATGTTTTATATAGAGGAAAGTCCTCTATTATGAGATAGGCTTCTAATATGAGATAGCAGGTTTTCAACACCGGCATTCAATCACGAATCTTTTTTCGCAACGATTGCACAATCTGACAATGAATTTTCCACTAAACAGATTTCACTCCAAGGGCAATAAATTCATGGTGGAATCATCAGATGATGCCCATAAATTTAACAGAAACCCCGTTATCTCTCATATTAGGAGCCCGTCTTATAATAGAGCACTTCCCTATATGTATACACATATAAATTCGCGACTGGATAATAAAATCAGATTAAGTCGGTTGGACTTATTCGGCTTTGTTCTTGGCATCTCGGCGGTCAAGTCTTGTCCAATATTGTGATGCATTACACACTAACTTGAGAGAGAATGCAGAGCGATCTTCAGTATACTTGTCTATTAACATAGACAAAGCAACGGTTGGTGAGTGTGCTGCGAGCGTACAGCAGGGCCCCAATTAATAAAATCCAATTAGTAGTTAATTAACGCCCGCGGAACTTTCGCACGCGACGCGAGCGTAGTCGCCGAAAGTTACATTGGCGACAGCTAAAACAATTACCGGAAGACCATAATCGCATAGCCGAAGACACGCGTTTAACTTTTCAGTTAAGAGCATCTCCTTCTGAGAAGAGAACTCCTCAAAAGGGGAATTCAGAAATTACTTGAACGCATATACTTCAATTTTATCGTCGCAATATCAGAAGTATGCGGATCGCACTTTAACTTTCGAGTCAGACGAAATTCTCCCCGATTAGTGTAAGAGGCAGAGACTTGAAAGAGTCTGCGCCAAAATTTCTCTTAATGCGACTTGACATTCTGTTACACCGATTGACATAGAAAAGTAAATGCTTCAATTTCCGATTACACCTAACTTTCTTTTTAATTGTCGATTATATCCAACTCTTTTTTTAAATCTGTGTGTGTGTGTGTGAATGAAAAACCTGTAAAAATTGTGCTCGCGATGTTTTGAAAACTGTTCCAATATTTCACCCCCTTTGAAATCTTTTAGGCCGAAGAGGATGCACTGAACCTAGAGGTTGATTACACTCGCAGTGGCCTCCTTACTGCTAAAAGGGAAATAGCGACTCTTTTCAGGCCCATCTGAGGTCAAAACTTCAATATATTTCCTCCGACACGAAGACCTTAGTTTGACCCATTGCTCCCAATTCACAAATTGTACGAGGCTAAACTGAAGCCAAAATTATTCGACTCGGGAATATATATCAATGTTAATCGCGTCATGATTAACAATGAAAACCGTGCTAAAAATATGATTGAAGCCGTAATGATGATTCAAAATATAGTCTGTCTAGGGTATTATTTGCCTTTCAACGTGAGAGGGCATGTGATCAAAAGATTTTCCTTAATTTATCGTTAGGATTTAAAATTAAGATCATATACACACATACACAAGAAATTGCGAAAATTTGCGGAAAATCGTGTTACTTAAAAAAAAAATACATCGCGTAAAAAGAAAACGCGCAAAAGCAAAGCACGTAAAAAGAGAACTGGGTATTCCGATAATGTAAGCAACCGTTTTTTCGACTATCGCGTGTAAAAGAAATGATTTTAGCCGTGGCGATCTGACCCGATCGAAACGAAGCGCGTGGAAAATGTTGAAAGGCTTTACTCCAATTCCGAGCGCGTACGCCAAAACGTCGAAAAAATCGCTACAACACGGACTTAAGCTCCGGAAATATTTGCACGCTCGGCCGTGAACGACGTCGGCCCTTCCGAAAATGGAATTTTCAATATAAATTCCGCGTGCACCTCGCAACGAAGGCGCCCCGAGGGCTTTCGGTCAGGATTGACACTGATTTCATCCCGCGATATCGAGTAGCTAGAAAAGCGATGTTAAAACGAGCGACATTTAATCTATAGAACTTTCCGGGAAGGAGGATGGGCGAATATGTTTTGTGCGATCGATTAACTTGAAACACGTTCGCTGCAGAATATGATGGCCACTTATGATAGCGATTTCCTGGAAATTCACGAGAATATCGTAGAACCCAAAATTGCTATCATCGACCGATGCCGTTCTCGAAAGCTCGCAATTACTATCTCGATACTCTATTGCATATGCATACATTTGTTATGTATCTGGCGGACGTAAATGGCTGCAAAGTCTATCGTTTCTTCCAAAGATAAAGGTGAAAGCCAAAGAGCCATATATGCGAGATGAAACATGAAATATTTCAACTTATAGCGAATTCGATTGCTTGCACTAGTGCGCACTGAGTGCCTGTTTATGGTCAATTTTTATATTTGTGAGACAATAAAGCATTTTAAAGAATTGTATGAAAGTTTTTTTAAATTTCACCATACATTCTACTAGGAAAATGCGTACTAACAATAATTAATTACTAGTAAAATGTATGGTAAAATTTCAAAAAACTGTCATACAGTTCTTCGAAATGTCACATTGTTTCACGATTATGTGACTTTCATGGATTATGGACGCTATACAGATCATTTTACTGGCTACGAAATATTCCAAGAGATATTTAAGGCGATCCTTAAATATAAGAATTGACTGTAAATAAGCCGTAGTGTGCACTCAGTGCGCACGGGGCCCACAATTAGTAATCGAATTATTTGTTCGTAACTTAATCATTTACGAATTTTACTCCGCGAACTAAAAATTGCAATCAGCTATTTTATCTGTATCCAAGATTTTTAAGTAATACTAATCAGTTCTTTCAATTCGCAGATAGCCAGCTGACGTTACTTGTCATTCGGTAACGCAAAGATTATTTTCCCTCAAGAGTTCACTAACCGAAATGTTAAGTTGCTTAACTGCAAAAAGACGGTCAACATTTTTCCCCAGAGTAGTGCGCTGAAAGAAACGCTGTTTCTTTGGTAGAAACAATCATATTAATTAACAGAGATTGGGTAACGCCGTTGTCCTCCCAGGACTTGAAATATTATGATAACGTCTTAGCTCGACGGTCTCAAAGTCAATTTGCGTCTGAGGACACTAAGTGCCATAATCCGGCTGCGGGCGCTATTATTCCGCCGTTAAACCGTCTACGCATCGCGAGTACGGCGAGGGCAAGAAACGTGCCTAATAACCAACTCCTCCGTTCTCTCGCTTACATATTGGCGCCTTCACTCTCTCTCCTGTCGCGTTCTCGAGCAGCATAACGCGATGGATGCAGCCGGGCGACGTTAGAGCCGTCATTAGTCCCGGGAACGTAAGTACGGCACCGCTGAGGGTCGCGCAGTAGTAAAGGACACTCCAGGCTTGGCCGGAGGAGCTCGCGCCAAGCGAGAAACAAGCCAAGTTAGTTAATGGCGCAAAACCGGAAGTCCTCCCTCCCCTCCGCCGCGGCGCGGGAGAGGAAGACGCCTCTCGCCGAGAGAGGATTTTAATCCCGCTACATTGGACAAGGAGATCCTGCGACGCGAAGATTTTGTTACGAGCACTTCTCAGCGAACGTGAGCGAACGTTCCGCCAGGACGACGTGCAGGAGCGACTGTAAGCCGTCCTTGCGAGCGGGCGCGCGCGAGTTTCTGCAGATTTCATTAGCGCGCGGCGTACATGTATCGTGACGTCCGTTGAAATACAGGTTGACTTATACGTACATTAGCGCCGTTAGCTGTTATTATCCCATTCCCCGCTAATGGAAAGTATCCCAAGACCTGAGCTGAGGAGACGAGAGATAATCGATTTTAAATTAAGAATATGTGAAACAAGTCGTTTCTCCAGCCCGTCGTCGTGCTTCTACTCTCGCTCGCTGCGTGATTCAGAATTTAAAGACGATTGCGGTGCCTGCGCGTCAATTCTGTACCTTACACTGTAGTGAAAGTGCTAGAAGCGAGTAGCTCTGTCACTTTCTAACTGTCCCCTTAGAAAGAGACAAAGCCGCTCACTTTTAGCATTTTCACTATGTTGCACACGGAGAGAAAAATGTAGGCTGCCGTAGCCGAAAACTGCATGTGGCAACTAAATTTCAGCTGTAAAATATGGACAGCTAGTATTTAGTTGCAACAGCTAAATATTTTGCTACTGTGCCTATTGTATTAGGTGCGACAGCAAACCGTTTGCTGTGCTTCAGAACTTCATAGTTTATGGCCGCGAAACATTTTTAGCAAACCGTGATTGGCTCCGGTTGTGGAAATTTTTTTTCAGTGCAAGGTACAGAATTGACCTCCTGGTACTACACTGAAAAAAATTTCTGCTTGAATATGGACGAATCAGATAATTCCTTTAGGATTTACCAGAATTCCTTTAGGATTTACCAGAATTTCTGTAGGATTACAGAAATTTCTGTAGGATTACAGAAATTCTGGTAAATCCTAAAGGAATTCTGGTAAATCCTAAAGGAATTATCTGATTCATCCATATTCAACCAGAAATTTTTTTCAGTGTGGTATCGACTTTCCAAGCGAATTCTCGGGTCTTTGTCGCGCACGCGTGTGTGCGTTATACATTTCTCTATTAATCAATTTAGCTGTCTTAC